GCAGATTTTGGGGTTCCACCTCAACTCCACGGATAATTTTGGAGATTTCTCCAATTTCTGAGCTGATTTTGGGGTTCCACCTCAAATCCATGGATAGTTTGGATTTTCTCCAATTTCTGAGCAGATTTTGGGGTTCCACCTCAACTCCACGGATCCATTTTGGGGTTCTACCTCAACTCCATTGATCTATTTTGGGGTTCCTCCAATTTCTGAGCTGATTTTGGGGTTCCACCTCAATTCCATGGGTAATTTTGGAGATTTCTCCAATTTCTGAGCTGATTTTGGGGTTCCACCTCAACACCATGGATAATTTTAGAGGTTCCTCCAATTTCAGGGTTCCACCTCAAGTCCATGGATAATTTGGGGTTTCTCCAATTTCTGAGCTGATTTTGGGGTTCCACCTCGACACCATGGATCCATTTTGGGGTTCCACCTCCAAATCCACGGATAATTTTGGAGGTTTCTCCAATTTCTGAGCAGATTTTGGGGTTCCACCACAACTCCAAGGATCCATTTTGGGGTTTCTCCATCGTGGCCCTACCTGGTGGAGGTTCAGCTCCATTTCACCCCAAATTTCCACCATTCCCAAATTCTGAGCAAATTTTTGGGTTCCACCTCAACTCCATGGATAATTTTGGAGGTTTCTCCAATTTCTGAGCTGATTTTGGGGTTCCACCTCAAATCCATGGATCCATTTTGGGGTTCCTCCAATTTCTGAGGTGATTTTGGGGTTCCACCTCGACACCATGGATCCATTTTGGGGTTCCACCTCAACTCCATGGAGAATTTTGGAGATTCCTCCAATTTCGGGGTTCCACCTCAACTCCATGGATAATTTTAGAGGTTTCTCCAATTCCTGAGCAGATTTTGGGGTTCCACCTCAACTCCACGGATCCATTTTGGGGTTCCACCTCAACTCCATGGATAATTTTGGAGGTTTCTCCAATTTCTGAGATGATTTTGGGGTTCCACCTCAAATCCATGGATAATTTTGGAGGTTTCTCCAATTTCTGAGCAGATTTTGGGGTTCCACCTCCAATCCATGGATCCATTTTGGGGTTCCACCTCAATTCCATGGATCCATTTTGGGGTTTCTCCAATTTCTGAGCTGATTTTGGGGTTCCACCTCAACTCCACAGATCCATTTTGGGGTTCTACCTAAACTCCACGGATAATTTTGGGGTTCCTCCAATTTCTGAGCTGATTTTGGGGTTCCACCTCAAATCCATGGATCCATTTTGGGGTTCCACCTAAACTCCATGGATAATTTTGGAGGTTCCTCCAATTTCTGAGCAGATTTTGGGGTTCCACCTCAACTCCACAGATAATTTTGGGGTTTCTCCAGCCCGGCCCTACCTGGTGGGGGTTCCAGTCGCTGTCGAAGATGATGACGGTGTCGGCCGACTGCAGGTTGAGGCCGAGGCCGCCGGCGCGCGTGCTCAGCAGGAAGATGAAATACTCGGAGCCCGGCTCGTTGAACGTCTTCAGCAACATGCCCCGGTCCTCGGCCTTGGTGGTGCCTGGAAAAGCACCCCGGAGTCACCGAGGGTTCCGGAAGGTTCCGTGGGGAAGGGGATTCCCCCATTGGATTGAATGGGATCCATATTGGATTGAATTCCCATTGGATTGAATGGGATCCCCATTGGATTGAATGGGATCCCCATTGAATTGAATTCCCATTGGATTGAATAGGATTCCCCATTGGACTGAATTCCCATTGGATGAATGGGATTCCCATTGGATTGAATGGGATCACCATTGGATTGAATGGGATCCATATTGGATTGAATTCCCATTGGATTGAATGGGATCTCCATTGGATTGAATGGATTCCTATTGAAATGAATGGGCTCCCCATTGGATTGAATGGGATCCCCATTGAATGGAATGGGATTCTCATTAAACTGAATGGGATCCCCATGGGATTGAATGGGGTTCCCATTGAATTGATTGGACTCCCATTGGATTGAATGGGATCCCCATGGAATTGAATGGGATTCCCATTGGATTGAATTGGATCCCTATTGAAATGAATGGGATTCCCATTGAGTTGAATGGTATCCCCATTGAATTGAATGGGATCCCCATTGAAATGAAAGGGATTCCCATTGGTTTGAATGGGATCCCCATTGAGTTGAATTCCCATTGGATTGATTGGGATCCCCATTGGATCAAATGGGATTCCAATTGAGTTGAATTCCCATTGAATGGAATAGGATCCCCGTTGGATTGAATGGGATCCCCATTAGATTGAATGGATTCCTATAGGATTGAATGGGATCCCCATTGGATTGGATGGGATCTCCATTGGATTGGATGGGATCTCCATTGGATTGAATGGATTCCCATTGGATGGAATGTGATCCATTGGATTGGATTCCCATTGGATTGAATGGGATCCCCATTGGATTGAATGGGATTCCCATTGAGTTGATTGGACTCTCATTGGATTGAATGGGATCTCCATTGAAATGAATGGGATCCCTGTTGGATTGATTGGGATCTCCATTGGATTGAATGGGATCTCCATTGAATTGAATGGGATCTCCATTGGATTGAATGGGATCCCCATTAGACTGAATTCGCATTGGATTGAATGAGACTCCCATTGAATGGAATGGGATTCCCGTTGAGTTGAATGGGATTCTCATTGGATTGAATGGGATCTCCATTGAATTGAATGGGATCCCCATTGAGTTGAATTCCCATTGATTTGAAAGGATTCCCATTGAGTTGAATTCCCTTTGGATTGAATGGGATCCCCATTGGATTGATTGGGATCTCCATTGGATTGAATGGGATTCTCATTGGATTGAATGGGATCCCCATGGAATTGAATTTGATCTCCACTGGATTGAATGGGATTCCCACTGAATTGATTGGACTCCCATTGGATGGAATGGGATCCCCATTGGATTGAATGGGATTCCCATTGAATTGATTGGACTCTCATTGGATTGAACTGGATCTCCATTGGATGAATGGGATTCCCATTGGATTGAATGGGATCCCCATTGGATTGAATGGGATCCCCATTGGATTGAATTCCCATTGAATGGAATGGGATTCCCGTTGAGTTGAATGGGATTCTCATTGGATTGAATGGGATCTCCATTGAATTGAATGGGATTCCCATTGAGTTGAATGGGATCCCCATTGGATTGAATGGGATCCCCATTGAAATGAATGGGACTCTCATTTGATTGAATGGGATTCCCATCGAGTTGAATGGGATCCCCATTGGATTGAATGGGATCCCCATTGGATTGAATGGGATCCCCATTGAGTTAAATGGGATCCCCATTGAAATGAATGGGATCCCCACTGGATTGAATGGGATTCCCATTGAATTGATTGGGCTCCCATTGAATTGAATGGGATCCCCATTGAAATGAATGGGATTCCCATTGGATTGAATGGGATTTTGGGGTGCATCCCCCCCATTGGAGCCCTCACCGTCCAGCCTGAGGTATTTGAAGCCCCGGTAGGCGAAATAATCCTCCATGATGGTCATCAGCGAGGTCATCTGGCAGAAGAGCAGCACCTTGTGGTTGGTGGCCCTGAGTTTGGGCAGGATCCGATCCAGGAGCTCGAATTTTCCGGAAGCTCGGTACAAATCCAGCCTTGGATGGACAAAAAAAACCCCAAAAATTAAAGAAAAAATTGAATTTTTTTGAAAAAATTTGAATTTTTTTGGAAAATTTTGGCGTTGGGATCATCTGGTTTCACGTGATGGTTCGTCTTCCACCTCTAGGAAAATTCTGAGTTTTTAAATTATTATTAAGTTATTTTTATTAAAGTTGTTATTATTATTATTATTAGTAGTAGTAGTAATATTTGTATTATTACTATTATTATAAAACATAAATATAAAAAATAAAATATTAATAATAAATATATTAATGTTTAATAATTAATAATATATAATTATTCTATTTATAAATATATTAACATTTATAAAATGTTTATAATATATTTATACATATAAACAACATATATATAAATATTTTAATTATGTTAATAATTAACAATAAATAAAAATAAATTACACTATTATAAATTATAATACTATTATAATTATCATTAATTATTACTATTATTAAAGTTATTAATTATTATTAAAGTTATTAATTATTATTAAATTCACAGGTTTTGTAATTAATTCTAAAATTTTGTCACTCACCCCTGCACGATCCCACCAGTGAAGCCCAAGTGCTCTGAGAAGGATTCCTGAAATAAAAAAGAGAAATTGTGACAAAAAACAGCAGAAACTGCCCCAAAAAAATAAAAATCTGGAGCCAAATTGTGACAAAAACGGCACAAATTGCCCT